ATCTCTTTGTTGATTTTGGGTTGGAAATATTTGAGTGTTTGCAATGGAAATGTGTGCAGATGTGTGTACATAATGGGGTGGATTATGAGATTTGCTCAGCATGAACTTCAGCATTTCCAACTGTGTAACCTGAATAAGTTGGGAAGATGTACAGATTTAATGACCATGTAAATGTATTAGCTCTGCATTTCCTGGCATTTGTTTTGCTGATGACACAACCTGTATGTTATTCACTTAATTGATTTTTTAAATCTGTCTGCATTTTTTTTAGTGCTTAAAAACAGTAAATGCTGGTGTGAGAGTCCAGACAATTGTCTGCTGTGGATCTCTTTGCTGGTTTCAAATACCAGTTTTGTGTTCATATTCTCCCACAAATGAGGGAATTTCAGTGTAGTTACTGAGTAGATATTAAGTGATTTTACAGTATAATAAAGACATAAAACCCAGGCTGCTTGTGCTTACAGGTAGATGGTGGGATTTTTTTGTTTTAAGTGCGTGTTGTGTACCTGACAGTTACTCCTGTGGAGGGGTGACTGATCCCTCCAGGATGGGGAGACTTCGGGATGAGTCAGGAGGGAGCCACTAACTCCCAGGAGGGTAATAGTTGGAATCTGTGGGTGGTTATAACCCTGGCATGTTGCATGACTGCCTTGCCCTGGTCTGCTGGGAGAGCTGGGCTTGTTTTGCAGTGTGCAAAAGGTGCTATCACTGTAGCTCCCCTCTGGCATGGCTCTGCTGGAGAAGGTGGGATTGTGCTGCTACAATCAGTGTGTGGGACTTGCTGCTGAGGCAGTGCATTTTCTAGGCTCAGCTGCTTGTTTAAAAAATGAAATATAATTGGGAAATGTCATTCGGGGCTCTTAACCTCTCTGCATTAATTTTTTAATGAGTTCTTAGAATGTCAGTTTTCTGAAGATGACTTATTTTTAGGCATGGTAATGTCTTACCTTCAAATGACCAGCTAGGTTAGTGCTGCTCTCATCTCGCTTCAGCTAGTGGAGAAGCCAGCACTGCCATGCACCTAGCAAAACCTGAGTGTTTTGCTTCACAGATCTTCATTTGATCAGACAAGAAGGAAAAAAAAGCCCTGGTCCCTGAGGCAGTTGAAGAAAAGAGCCTTTGTGTAGCAGGAAGAAGCAGATGCTGTGGAGAGCTGCAGCTTGCGGCACAGCTGGTCTGCAGCCAAATACTATTTTTGAAGAGCTATCCAAAAATCTGCTGTGCACCTGGATGTGAGAGCTTTCCTCTGTTTGCCTACTGCAACGTGATGTCTGGAGGTGTATGTGTTCCCCAAAAGTACCCAGGATGTAGGCATGAGCCAGTGTCCAGCCACATGAGTGCTGAAACACCTCAGGGCTGCAATTTACTTTCTGTACGTAAGCAGGAGTGCTGCTGTTTTGTCTTTTTAGGGTTCTGGGGGAAGGGTAGGCGGAAGATAAGGTTACATCTGTCCTAAATCCCTGACATTTTACAGAGGTTAAAATCCTAGCTGAACATATCTCTTTGCTATGTGGTGAGAATAGTTTAATAATTCAAACAGACTCCTTGTACTAACACGTCTGCAATTAGTGCTGGGGCTGCCAGTGAGGTGTGAGCATAGCAGGAAACTGGCGGCTGAGCTGTCTACAGAGTTAGTAACAACAAAAAGGGAAAAGAAGAAAAAAAGGCAGATTCTCAGTGCAAGTGCTCTTTTCTCTGCTTTTTAAAATTTTGTAAAGGTGAACTCTGGGTGAAAGATGCCCAGCTCAAAGCCATAGACAAATAATTTCTTTCTTTTGCGAGCGAATTTATATACAGGTTCTAAGGGTCAAAGTCTCAGTTTCCTTCCCAAATTGCTCTTTCCTGTTCCTGAACACAGGAGTGGTTTGATACTGTGTCAAAATTGAGGGCAATTCTGGGGCTTTCCAGCTATGGAAGTGGCTGGTGACTGCTGAGGTGTATTTGGGAGCAGAGAGGGGAGGAGAAGGCTTGGCAATAGGAAAATGTGCTATGAAAAGGCAGAAGGAGCAGCATAGGTGTAGGTGGAAGTTTTGGGGAGCTAGAGGTCTGGCTGCCCCCAGATGGTTTCTGCTTTAACTGCTGCTCAGATGCCTCTTCTTCTTTAGTTCTCTAAGCAAATGGAGCCACTTTCAATGAGACAATTGTTTTATTAAGAACAAAAAGTGATCTAGCTTTAAGCATTCACTATAGTAGAGAAGTGTATGACATATGAAAGATTCCTATAGATCAAGGAATCTGTGATGTTTTTAATCAGAGTGAGAAGTCCAGATCCCTACAATTGTCTGTTTGCTGAGTTCAGTAGCTGCACACTCTGACCTATGGCAGTCTCTACTGGCTGGTGTGCAATGTTATATCACAGACCATTAAAAATAAACTTGAGAATTATAATGAAACTAGAAAATAATTTTAGAAACCAGCCATTTATTTGCTCTCAGACAGTTCTGTTATAAATGCATGTTCTTTCCTTGCTCACAGCTTGCTGCTTTGCAGCTGCACCTGAAAAGAAGAAAAGCACAAATATTGACAAACATGTTGAACATCCTTCCCCACCCCGAGGCCCTCCTTCTCTCTGGTTTTCTGTAATTGAATGTTTGTTTCCTCCTTTGCTTTTCCTGAAGTGGTTTTAGGAAAAATCCCCATTCAGGAAGGAAAAAAATAAATAAAATAAATAAAATCTGATGGATCTAACTTCAGTCAAGTGGAAAAGTAAAATAACATTTGATAAGCTTTTATTCCATATCAAAACAGGGATACAGAAGGCTAATAAAAATCTTTATTTGTGAATTTACTAAAAATAGCTGAGTAGCCTGTGGCCATGTTTCTTTCAGCTGAGTCTGTTAAGTTATAGCATTTACATGTGTCAGACTAAGTCAACATGTAGGTATGAGATTTTCAAGGATGACATTTTGAAATGGAATGATGCTAGTGGTAAAGTAGCTGCATGTGGAACCCATGGTACAAATATTGTAGCAGCCCTATTCCAGCATCTGCTACTCATCAGTCAGAGTAACGTATACAAGAATTAGAAAGAAGGAAGTATTCCAGCTTTAGGAAAATATGTAAACAAATACAACTGACTCTTGCCATTGCTCTAAATGAAAAATGTGTAGACTAAAGGGAAAAACATTGTCCCTAAGAAAGGCCCTGCTTTTTTGTAGGTTCGTCCTTGACTTCTTTCATGACTGGTAAGTATTTCTGTGCCTTGTTTACACATTAATGACTGCCTACCCTGTTTTGCTCAGTGTCTTTTTTGATATACCAGCATGTTCAACATTCTTGTGCATCCTTTTCCTTTCTTCTTTGCATAGTGGGGTGTTGTAATTCATACTTTTATCCTTGTTGGAAGCACTAGGTTAAATGTTAGTGAGTCTTTGGGTATCAAAATTGAAATAAAAGAGGCTTTCTGGAGTCTTCATGACCCTCTTGCAGAGTCCTCTAAGCGTTTATTAGTGTTACCATTTGCAGTAGGTAAATATGAGGCTACAAATCTTTGCCATTTGTAAAGGCTTTTCTTGAGCTAGCTTCTTATTCCAGCATAGCAGCTGTGGTCCTCTGTTTATTGCCCTGTATTCAGTCAATATTTTCTTTTCCTCGGTGTTGAGTCAGAATTGACTCAAGACTTACTGATTTTGAAAAATGGCACAGTTAACATTTGGAAGAGGTGTTTGAACATCCAGGGAACTCTGTGAAAGCCAGCTGTGCTCAGGGCTTTCTGCATGAGGCTTCAAGGCCACAGGTACTCCTAGAGCTGTGAAATGTGTGTGAGCACACCACTTCCCTTATGGGTTTATACAATGTTGACTTGTTTAATTCCTAATTTAGCCTTCAGGAAGCTCAATCTTGAATTTCAGTGTTTTGTTTCTGCAGGAGAGGGCATGATGAAGAGCCAAGATCAATACTGCTTGCAAGAAACAAATCAAACAATCTTAGACTTTTATAGCATCATGCCTCAGCCAACAAAGATTCCTATATAAGATCATAGATAATGCCTTATTGTTCAGAAAATCTCATTACAATTCACTGTGCAAGTATTTTTATACAAAAATAGAATTCTTTGTGTGAATGAGATGAATAGGAATAATTTGTTACAGTGCAGATTTTTCATCTGTCAAAGGTGTTGTTTTCTGACATTGGAAAGAAGATGAAGAGACAGTTTTTGGCTATTAATGGGAACTGCATTGGAGTTTGGAGGAAATAGATGCAAGGTTTGCTTTGTGCTCATTTTGAATAATAAACAAACATGAAATTACTCTGCTAAGTACAGATCAAACGTGCTGCTGGTGTAATGAATTCAGTGCAGTAGACAAAGTGGTAATTAGTACTGGCTATCAGTAGCATTAGCTCTGGGGCCTAGAAGCTGGATATGGGCTCTAGATGGATTGCTACTTCTAAAATAGATACATAAATCTATCAGGAAACCCATTTAATAGCAAATGTGTTAATTCATTGGTTGTGGATATGCATGGACCGTTTTCCTGGAGTACACAGAATGTTCTGCACAGCTAAAATAGTCATATGTGGTGTCAGAGTCTGTGCTGGAATGTGTTTCGTTTTGATTCTGTGCTTCAGTGAACATCAACTCCCTATATTCTATTCTACACACAATGTATTCTGGTGATAGATCTTGCAGGATCTTTCACTGTCTGGGGGAAATGTGCTTTCCCATTTTTGGTGGTGCACTGTAGTGAGTGCCTTTGGTGTGGCAGGAGGAGACTGCTTTAGGACATGAGTACCATGCTTCCATTTTCCATTTTTGTTCCAGTTTAATGACAGGCTCTTCTGTTGTAATGTATGCCTCTGAGAGGACTTTTGTTCTAGCTGTACTTCAGCTTGAAGTAGTGATTGGAGGAGGAGGTTGTTAGACAGGGCTAGTAGATCCTGCTGCTGACTGGCACGGATGACCAGGGCACACATGGAATTGTTCTGATCTGTTCTCTCCTGTGGTTGGCATGATAGACAGACAAGAAGATAAACTTTCCCCTGCCTTTCTGTCTCCACAGCACTTCACAGAGTTCCTGGATGAATTTTCACCTGATGTCCTAGGCCAGCTCTTGAATGATCCCTTCTTGTCTGAGAAGAATGAAATAATGGAAGTGGAGCTGTCTCCAGCGTCCCCAGCGCCCCTCATCCAGGCTGAACATAGCTATTCCCTCTGTGGGGACTCTCGACCCCAGTCTCCCTTGACCCACATCTCGACTGATGACAACTTTAATGAAGGTACAACACACTGAGCCCATGTTCATTTGTTGTGATGATGCAGTAATGAAATGCTCTTGGTGGAACTGTAACTGTGGAAAATGGTGGTGCATAGAAAATTATGAAAACCCATAGCATTTCTTACAGTTATCTGTGATTCAGGAGTTATAAATGTCTGGAGGGGGAAAAGGGGAAAGGCAAGAATGGTGGGAGGAGGAGATCCAACCTCTTGTTTTGGTGTGAAGTGGTTGGTAGAGGAGCAAGACCATGAATATCTGGTAACTATAAGGAATAATTGCAATGCCAGACTTCGACTCCTTATAATTGGTTTATCTTCACCATTAGCTTTACAGTACAAAGCAGTGGAGTGTTAAGCTGCGTTACAATAAGAGGGAGAGAGATTAGTGCTTGTGGCTAAGCATTGACCAGCTAAGCTGTTTGTGACGATCCACCAGACAGGTCTTCAAAGGCTGATAGATGTGTAGCCCAAAGTGCTCTGTTGGAACAAGATGAAATCTTTCAGAGATTTTATAAGAGGACAACTAATAAAACCTGTGAGAAGGATTTTTCAATGTGGGACAGGATTTTTGGAAATTATTGGGGAACATAATCTATGGAAAGTCTTCCATTTTTATATTTCCTTGCTGTTTCATGTAAGTATTTTTAAATTAACACATACAGGAGGTATTAATTTTGGAAGGGAAAACAAGCAAAGGAACATCAGAAACCAAGTTTTTCTCGAAGTTAACAGAGAGAAGCTTCAAATTAGGCTAAAAGTAAGGGGAGTTTCCTTTGGGGAAAATTCCTGAAGAAATTTATACTGCTGAGACCACTGTAATAGAGCTGTAGTCACATGATGTTTTAAAAAGCCAGGAAACATTAACAAGTGGGTTTAAAGATAGAAAAAGAATGGAAAATATTTTGTCTTATGTTCACTCTGCAGAATGTTTCATAAAAGAGGAGGAGTTGTTCTTGGGGTTTGGGATTTTATTTAATCTTAACCCCAGAATCATGCTCACAATCTTTCTGCACCTATTGACTTCAAAACAGTGAAGCTCAGAGAAATACTTAAGGAAATCGCACTGTTAGAGTGAACCCGACTCTCTGATATTCAAAGGCATCACGCTGATGATTTTTCATTCCTTGAGTCTGTGAGAGCAGGAAAAGATGATTTTGTGGATGGCAGTACTGCAGAGCTGGACACTGGAGATTGAAAGTGTCTCTGTTATTAGGCAGTGAAGGTACACAGTGCTCCTGACAACTCTGATGAAGGCCAGTCCCCTTGGTGGGATAAGGGCACAGATACTGGGAGCACCAGTGTCGTTTTGAGGACCAGAAAGTACAGCGTGTGGTGGGGGAGGTTCATATGCTCCAGCATGATCCTCTGCTGCTGGGGGGCTGGGAGCGGCTTTGTGGAGTGGCAGGTGCTGAGAGACATATATACAATGTTAAAAATATTTGCATTCTCCAGATACCCATCCCAATGGGCAGATTGGTGAGCTCTTGTAGTGTTTTCATGGTTGTTCGACGGTGATGCATCGTTTTTGAGCTTCAACATGCAGGGGGGCTGAGAAAAAGGCTGGCCTTGTTCAGCACATGATCTTCAAGACCAGTTTAAGCAATTCGGTGTCTGTTTCCATCTTTTGTTTTTCCCACCCCCGAGTCTCCCACAGCCTTATTGAAAATGTTATTTAATGTTTCCTCTCAGCCATTATGGTGGAGTGATTGGTTTCTTTGACTCCATTTTGCTGCCCATTCCTGCAGGGAATGAGTAATTTTTGCTGTGACCTGTTTCTTGCTGGCTGCTGCCTGGCTATTACCATAATTTCTGCAACTGCTGAATTGACCTATTCCTGTAATTGTAAATTTGTGTAAATTTTTTCTAAAAGGAGCTGTATCTGTAAAACCTAGGAAACTCATAAGCCTGGTTCTAACTTTTCTGAGAAGTCCTGTTAAGTTCAATGTGAGAGCACATTTAAGTGTCCATGAAGTCAAGGTCCAAACACTGGCACTCTTCTGTCTTCACTGTGTTGAGGCCATTTCCCCAGCTTTGTACAGGATAATTTTTTTGAATACTTGCAGCTTGTTGCTAGTGTGGGCTTTCTGAAGGTATCAGTTTTAAAGCATATGAGTACAAGACATCTGGCATTTAATGTGTTATTTGGTTTCTCCCCATGACAAGAATCTGTTCTTAGATTCAGTTTTGCATAAACTTTAAAGATACTAGAGGGAGAGAGATTTACAGCCTTAACTTGCCTGCTTGCAGCTAGCTGATCACTTTTGTTTGTCTGAAATGGCAAATAAGACATATGGCCTGGGGAGGACTTCAGGCAGCAACATGAAAAATGAGGCTGTGTCCTGTACCAAACTGTCCACAGCAGCTGTACTGCCACCTCTCTCCCATCAGGTTTCTGCTTTCTAGTTTTGAGCCCTGGGGTTTTTGAAACAACTGTAGAGTGGTTGTAGAGAAGGACAAGGAGTGATGGAAAATGTGGAGTGGAAAATTCTCTTGAAAGGACATGAAGAATCTGGGAGGGCAGACAGAGAATAGGGCTGATGGATAAGGGAGATCTCATCACAGCCTTTTGAGGCACAGATTCATTTCTGACAGCTGTAAAGAAATAGGAAAAGAAGCCTAATTTTCTGTTATGGTCCGTGCTGGTTTGTTTTCAGTTGTCCAGTCTCTGCAGCCTTTTAGAAAGGAAGAGCTGTGGGTCAGACAGCCAGGAGCAAGGCAGGACCTAAGTTTCAGCAGGCAATCTGGTTATTCTCCTTGTGACTTGAGATGTGAGTATAGGCTCCTTCCCTGCCCTGCCGTGCTTGATCTTGTTAGCTGTGAGCACAAACTTTAGGATCATGGCTGTCCCTTGTTTGGGACATGTGTGAGGCATAAGTGACAGCTGAATACAGGTAATACTGAGGGGCTGGTGTGTAGCAGGAATGTGCAGAGTCTGCAGCATCTGTGTGGGGCTCTTCATCCTCTGAGATCAGTTCAAGTGCTGGGGGGTGTTTCGTGGTGGGTGTATGTTCGATTTGTCTGGTGTTTTTCACTTTGTGAGCCTAGTAGGGCAGAGACAGTGGACAGCTGACTAGTGATTGAATGCTGTGTCTCTCAGACTGTGCCCAGGTGGCTGGGTGAATTCCTTTCCCAGTCCCCTGAGGGCTCTGCTTTTGAGACTAGTCTGGGTCTCCACCTGCCCCACCTGTTGGTGCTTTCCTGCTCAGGAATGCTTTGAAGTTAATTTTGGATTTGAAGAGGCTTGTCTTGGCTGAAGGTTTGACAGACAGATTGCTGAAATGGTGTGTTGCTGTTCTACTCCTATCTGTGCCAAAACTGGGGATAGCCCCAGACTGTAACCTGTATTGTTACTGTGTTTTTTACTGCTGAGGTTATATTTTTCTGTAATGTGCTTCTAAAACTTGAATTTTCTTTTTCGATTTTTAAACTTCAAGTCCATCTCCCTACAAGATTTGAAAAAGAAAACTACAAATAAGAAACCCAAACAAAACAAATTCCCCAAAACCATGGCTCCCACTTTTCTTCCTTCAGCAGTAAATCTCAGGCAGGGCTACAAAAAACTCTTGCTTAGGTATGGAGTTCACAAGCAGTAATCAGTGTCATGTGCTGTCTCCACATAGGGGCATCTCTGGGCTTGAGGCTCAGGTTGGTCTTCATAGATTTTATATGTATCCATATGTATGCGCACACATAATATACATATGTATATGTGGTGTATTTGTCAGTCATAAGAGTTTTATTATTAATAGAAGGTTATATTACATATCCTAATTTATTTTTTATGTAGTCTATATATAGAGAGGTACAATGTCCCGATACTGTCTGTTTTTGTCCAAATACTGAATCAATGTAATGGGAACAAGGAAAATTGGAATCTCTGCCCTGACTTAAAAAAAACCCAAACAAACAGAAATTAAAGAAGAAATTCACTTGTGCTTTCAAAAGTTGCTGTCAAAGCCATATTGGCAATTGTTTAAATCATACTCCTGCAACCTTTTTTCTGTGTAATTTTTTTTCTTTTGTATGTTTATTTAGGAAATGGGAAAGCCATTTAGTGGAAGTGGCCTGTATTTGAGTGTTATGTGGAAAGGTAGCAGTCAATCCTTGTCACCATCTACAGTGTTAAAGTCATAGAATCATAGAATACTCTGAGTCGGAAGGGACCCATCAGAATCGTCACGTCCAGTTCCTGGCCTTGCACAGGACAGCCCAAGAATCACACCATGTGCCTGAAAGCATTGGTCTGTATAAAAGCAACTAAATTGATACCAGAGTACAAGAAGATTTTTTTTATCTTCTGTATATCCAAGGTCCACAGTCTCAATATGTCACTCTGCGTCAACCCTGTAACTCCTTCTTGAGCAGCAGCATGTCTGAAAAATGTTAGTTTTGATGTAGAGGTGGGCATTTACTTATGATTGCAGTTAATAATTGTCAGTTTTTGCAGCCTGGCCTCCTTTAGCTTCCAGTTACACATAGATGAGAGCTCATTATAGCTTTTGTTTCTTCTAAAGAATCATCTGCTCTCTGAAACATCTTTCTCTAGGTGTTTGTAGGCTGTGATTAAGTTCCCTCTTGACTGCTGCTTGGTTACAGTCTAAATGAACTGCACTTCCTTGGTGTTTCCTCCTAGGTAGAATCTTCTGGACCTTCAGCTCTTGCTGTGACTTTCTCAAAACAGGGACCTTTGCAGGTTCTTTTTCAAACTCTTTGCCAAGTGACTACAGGAACTGATTTCCCAGGAATAGTTTCCCTGATGATGCATATTATGAGAATACTCCTCCCACTTCCAGTCCTGCTGTTTGTGAAACTAGTGATCTCATTTTTTCTGTAGTGTTGCACTGGCAGCTTGTACTCACTTAGTTATGTACTGTGAGCATCAAGTCCATTTCATGTGTGTTAAAGCCAAAACACAGATCGGTCTTCACAGCATCTGAGTGGTGTGTGAGGAGAAAAATTCGGACCTGAGAGAGAGAACTGTTTTATTTGACTACAGTGCTTC